TGTGTGTGTGTGTGTGTGTGTGTGTGTGTGTGTGTGTGTGTGTGTGTGTGTGTGTGATACAAAGACTGTATAATTTATGGTGCTTTCCTAGACTACACCACCACTAGATCTTTAGAGCACCACCGTGATATACAGCTCTATTTTCAGTCTAAGCCTGTTTCCGAAAAGATAACATCTGGAAAGTCAAACAACTTTGCTACTAAAGCAGGGTCACCAAACTTTTCTTCAAAGTGGACCGATTACCGAGAGAATTCCGAGAGCGGAGCGGGGAATTATCAATACAATACATTGCGGTGTTTAAAGTAAGTAAAAGATTTGTCACTTTAAAGCTGAGCTAGGGTGTGATACATTAGCTAGAAATTATGAAATATATAAAAGCACGTTTAATTTGCACTCTGTTTAGCTTCCCCGCATGAGGACATGGAGGCGACGGGCCAAGCGAACTGGCCTCAAGAGCTAGATCTAGCCTACAGACCTTAGTTTGGCGACCCTGCTCCAAAGTTATGGGTAAACATTCTATCGTTAACCCTGTCTAGTGATAGAACGTGGTTCGAATCCCTTGATCAGGAGTTGTTTAGGGACTTTTCATGGCTCTTCACCCACATTGCTCGGTCCTATTGGTGATGAATCTTAGACCAGGAGTCTCGTCTCTCAGATAACCTTACAGTGCTGAAAAGGACGCTAAACCTGTGCGGCAAATAATAACTTTTGTGTAACATGCTTGTTAGACACTCAAATGAGAGGTTGCAATCTCGTGGTATGACAATGGAGCAAGTTTGGAGTTGTCCACAGCTACATGTCATGTCTCAGCTTTAGACCAGAGAGTTTACAGTAATACTGTAAACCCTCTCTGTTTAGACTAAGCAAGGCAGCATTCGCTGACTCAGTTTGTACGGGCTTCAGAAGGCCTGTATCCCTTCCCCTTCACTCACTGCCCAAATTTGCATTATTCTTCAGGTCAACTAGGAGAGCTCTTAACTTTTCAGCTGATGATCGTGCTTTGTCACAACGAGAGGATGCCTGCAGTTGAAACAATTTGTTTTGAGTAAAACTGCAACAAAAACTGCAACATCGGCATCAGCAACAGCAGGAACAGCAACAGCAATAGAAGAAGTAACAACCCCAACAGCAGCAGGAATATGTACATGTAGCAACAAAACAAAGAAAAGGAGCAACAGCAGCATAGCTCACAGCTGTGTTTCTGGATGTCCGTCCTTCTTCTTCAATACGTTTGTTATGACTTTTTAATCTCGGTTTATACCCTACCCCCCCCCCCCTCCCATCGACACAATTCAGATAATTTTGGAGGCGGGCTTCGATCCTACCTGCCAGGGCCAACCAGGGAAGAGAGACATACAACGTTTCTGCAGAAAGACCAAGACACTTGATACAAATTCCACTGCACTTGATTTCAATGCATTTTACTTGATACCATCGCGTTCACAGTTCACACCTTGGCCCCTGATCTCAGCGCATCGAACACATCTTTGTAGGCTATTTTTACAGTTCAAACTGGGATCAAGGCTTTTGGGAACAGCGTTGTCCCACCTCTGTCGTCAAGCCCATAAAAATTATAGATTAGTATTTAAGTGCTTTACGCCCCCAATTAACAGTTTCGGGCATTTAGGAGGCGGGCTGTTTCGACCGTGCTTGACAAGGCCTATTCGGTCTGAATGGGATACACAACATCCCTGCGAACAGATTGAGAGGCTCAATTTTTTTTAATGACGTTTACCGCTCGAGAATCGAACTCACAACTTCTGTGTGCAACGGTGGAGAGTCTGACAGCGACACGACTCCTGCGGTACAAGAATTTAATGAGAAAAAAGCAAAAGTACCACTGACGACGGTCCACATTGAGTCCGACCTCCGAAGTATTTTTTCTGTGCTGAAAGGGCTTTCGAGTTTGGTTGTTTTTTTCTAATTTAGCGAGCACGATTGCAAGCTCGTGTGTTTTACACCTTTCTTGTGTAAAAGTAGGGTGAGATGTTTTGGATTCATCTGGGGCGTATGGAAAGATAGAGAAGTTTGACTGAACAAGAAAAAGTATCAGATAGTAGTTCGATAACTAACTGTGTAAATGAACTAAGTCAACAAAATGAACTTTTTTCTTCTTCTTAAAAACAGTTCAATTAGAATTTGATGAATGAAAACCTTAGTCACAAGATATAGTAAAACTATAGTAAAACTATTTGCTTTGGTTTTTAAAAAAAGTATACACATTTGGGAGTTTATACATGAGATCTGGGTAGTATTCAAGAGACAGTCAAGAGTTTATGTCGGGCTATAACTGAGTAATAATAACTGGCTTCTTTTCCCCTCCTTCTGTCACGTCCCGATGTCTAACGCTTTCTCTCAGAGTGGCTGGCTTCTCCGTTACCTCGCTGGACTGGTCAACGTAACTTGCCTTTTTATCTAAATGCTGTTGGAAAAACACATGTAGAACTTGTGTCACTTGGATCATAAACGAGTGCATAATTGAAAGAATATATGAATGCTTGAATGAAAGAATGAAGAAGTTTATGCATTTGTGGAAGGACGGGTGGATGGAAGGATGGACCGACGACTGGATGAATGGCTGGCTGAATGGATGGATAGATGGGTGGACCGATGAATATATAGATGAGTAAATGAAAAGGTGCGTAAACACTAGAATGAAACAAAAGAAAGATAGACCAGGTGCACGAATGAAAGAATGAGTGAACATCTTGAGGTATGCAAGATAAAGATTGGGAACAAGTAAATAACTTTATCAATGTTTAAACGTGTAAACATTTAAACACGCATAATAAGTTTATTCGTGTATAGGTTTCCATTGTGTGCATAAACATTATAAAATAATATAGACAGAGAATGATGTTTCAAAATGTGGAATGCCTACCTCCCCCCCCCCCTTCCCACTTGCAAGGAGACAGGGCGGACAAGGCTACACATTCCAGACACTCACGACAAATTTGAACCCCATTCGAAATCGAGCCCAGAAATGAAAATCCCATAAGATTTTTAAGGGACATAATATTGCACTTATTATTGAAAAACAAGTCGCATCCAATAAAAATGAAACTGTCGAGACATAGAAAAAAACCCTGTTGTGATTTATGTTTCCTTAGGGAAATGATCTCCATAAAGATGGTTAACATCCTCTCAATGATCCATCTTTTCTTTTTGTTTTTTGTAAGTGTTTTACGGCGCCCGCAACTGCATAAGGTCACATGAGCGCGCGGGACACGTTAAACGTTTTCAGTTGGTAGGAAATTTTGAATTTTGCCCGGGTGGTGGACCAAGCCCACTCTTATCGATTTTAGACCACCAAGGGATCTTTATCGTGTACAACTTGTACACGGGATCTCCGAGATTTCTTGCCCTTGTTCGAGAAGGCTAGGAGTAGATCTTTCCTACAAGAAGACCAGGGGTGTGGCTGAAAGACAGAGGTAAGAAGGAGCCAAGAAGAAACAGTAGAAATGCTGCTGAAAGAGTCAGGAGCCCAGAAG